TTCCAAAGCAATCAATTCTCATGAATCTGCATTGCAGACGTTTGTCTGCTCCAAATATTTTCCCAACATCAAATTCCGATTAATTTTAATGAACCCAAAAATGCATTTCCGGTAGTTGACTTCGTCAACCCATGCAATGCTTTACGCGTGTAGACGAAATTAATAAGAATTGTTTTTGGTAACAGCAACTAAATTTTAAACAACAGAGTGGCATGATTTCATGGAAAATAATTTTGTTAAATAGGCAAATTAATTTTAAAATTTAATTCTTACTCGAATATTGTAATGTAGTTTTTAAGACACTCTTTGATCAGCAGCCAACCAATAAAGTTGATTTTAATAAATAGAAAAATCGTGGTTTTAATAATAAAAGCGGCAGTAAGTTCAATTTCGATAATTGCAACTTACAGGATCAAAAGTAGTCCGCGATCCTTTTTGATAAAGTGACGCGTAATAAAAGACAGCGGTAAGTGCAATTTCGATAATTGCAACTTACAGGATAACATTAAATCGCGAGCCCTTTTTGACAAAGTGTCGCGTGAGGATCACGTTGATCCAAATTTTTTTTGATACCTTATCACGTAAGGATCTAACTTATATTGATATTTTTAAAACGGAAAATAAACTTGTCCTCACAGCGTTGGATAAATTCTCAAAATACGCACAGGGCAAAATTATTATGTCAAGAGCTATTGAACATGTAAAAGAACCTTTACGAGAATTAATATTTTTATTCGGTGTTCCAAAAATTATAATTTTTGATAATGAGAAATCTTTTAATTCAGCTTCAATAATTTTTATGTTACAAGACCAATTGAATATAGAAATCTACAAAGCTCCACCATATACGAGTGTTGTGAACGGTCAGGTTGAACGATTTCACTCCACCTTAGCTGAAATTATGCGTTGCCTTCGAACTGAACGGACATATCCTACCTTTATAGAACTTTTAGATAGAGCAATTTATGAATGCAATTACACAATACATAGCACAACAGGACAAAGACCACTCGAAGTATTTTTCGGACGACGAGTTAGCATAGACCCCGAAATGTATGACAAAGCGAGACAAGATAATATTCAAAGATTACGAGACAAACAGATAACTGACCTTAAAAACCATAATAAAAAACGAGAACCAATCAAACAATTTGACCCAGGTGATGAAATTTATGTAAAAATCCATAAGCGTTTAGGGACTAAATTGTCTCCAAGATTTAGAAAAGAAATAGTAAAAGAAAACAACACTACAACAATACTTACAGAATCAGGAAAAATAGTACATAAAAGCAACATCAAAAACTGACTTCATTTTTATATATTTCTTTTTACAGAACATTAACATTTCACTACACTTCTTCACAAAGCAACACACACCTTTTTAACTTCACACAATCATACCTTGTACCCATTCATAATGGACTATCAAAAATTCAGGATGGAACTTTCAACATTATTCACATCATAGACATAAAACGATACAGAAACCTCGTTGAGGACATACAATGGAAAATTACACAAACCATTCCTAAATCTAATCCTTTTTTCCCACTCCTAACTCATGAAATATCAGAAATTCACAATATCCTTGAAACCATAGAACCCATAGAAAGAAAGAAAAGAGCCATTAATATGATAGGCACAGCCTGGAAATACATCGCAGGATCTCCGGATCATGACGATTTTGAGTTAATTACAAAAACTTTAGACCAAACAGTTCAAAACAATAATCAACAAGTAATAATAAATGAAATTTTTACAGAAAGGTTACAAAACCTAACCCAAATTACAAATCAAATAGAAAAAGCCATTAAAAAAGATAACAACTATGTAAATGAAGCTGCACTCAGCATACAAATAAAACTAAGATTTACAAAAGAAGAACTAACAAATATTAAATTTGGAATACAATGGGCTAAGTTAAATATTGTAAACACATTTTTGTTAAATAAAAAAGAAATGACAATTGCATTAGAAAAAATTAAAAACGATAATATTATTGTAACATCAATAGAAGAAGCCCTAGAATTTGCAAAACTAAAAGTAATGTATAATCAAGAAAAACTTTTATATATTATTAAAATACCATTAACTAGTAAAGAAAACTATCAAAATTTTTTGATAAAACCTGTAAAAAGAAATAATAAAATCATAAATATTAAATTTAATGAAATTATTAAAAGTAATAATAGCATATATGGCGTAAAAAATAAATGCATAATGACAAAAAATGTAAAATTTTTTCAAAGGGACCAATTAGTAGATATTTCCAACGATACTTGTATCCCACCGTTACTAAACGGAATGAATTCATCTTGTCAAATTACTCACGGGTATCATATTCCTCAGATAGAAACTATTTCGCCGGGTATTATATTTCTTAATGATTTTAGTGGGACAGTAAATAATAAATCTTTAAATGGAACATTTTTAATAGAATTCCAAAATGTCACGCTGCGTATTAATGACAAATTTTACGAAAATTTAGAAGCTCCATTTTCAATAATTAGTCCACCAGCAATACAGCAAACACCCGACGAAGATGAATTCATAAATCTTTTATCTTTGGAAATGTTAAACTATTTGCATATTAATAATACTAAATCCATCCATGAACTCAAGTCGGAATCAGTTGTTACTAAATTTACCTTTTTTTCTTTATTTTCGATTTTTGCTATATTTTTATTGATAATTGGGTTTTTAACAAAGAAAAAACAAAAAATATTCGTTCATACAGTTACCCCTAGCCAAGAATTAATACAGGTCCCAGTCACTCGAAACACAGTGCAGGTACCAGGACCACAAAAGGTCGATGACTTACCTTATTTCTAACGATTGGGGACAATCGTTTTTAAAGGGGGAGGAGTTAACACACAATAAGTTGTTAATCCAATAAAGTATAGTTTCTTTTATTAATAATTATTCCAAAGCAATCAATTCTCATGAATCTGCATTGCAGACGTTTGTCTGCTCCAAATATTTTCCCAACATCAAATTCCGATTAATTTTAATGAACCCAAAAATGCATTTCCGGTAGTTGACTTCGTCAACCCATGCAATGCTTTACGCGTGTAGACGAAATTAATAAGAATTGTTTTTGGTAACAGCAACTAAATTTTAAACAACAGAGTGGCATGATTTCATGGAAAATAATTTTGTTAAATAGGCAAATTAATTTTAAAATTTAATTCTTACTCGAATATTGTAATGTAGTTTTTAAGACACTCTTTGATCAGCAGCCAACCAATAAAGTTGATTTTAATAAATAGAAAAATCGTGGTTTTAATAATAAAAGCGGCAGTAAGTTCAATTTCGATAATTGCAACTTACAGGATCAAAAGTAGTCCGCGATCCTTTTTGATAAAGTGACGCGTAATAAAAGACAGCGGTAAGTGCAATTTCGATAATTGCAACTTACAGGATAACATTAAATCGCGAGCCCTTTTTGACAAAGTGTCGCGTGAGGATCACGTTGATCCAAATTTTTTTTGATACCTTATCACGTAAGGATCTAACTTATACAAGGTGTATTAGGTGTGCTCAATAACTTCAAACAATAGGAACGTTCGTTTGCTTAATAATTTAAACAAAATATTTTTCGTTTACCAAAAAAAATCCGGGAAAGGACTGGGAGTTGGAAAATTTTACTTTTTAAAATTTTGCAGTGATATCATAGACAAATTAAGGTGTATACCATTGCACAATTAAATCAAGGTAACCTCATTTCAAATAAATAAAATCCAGCTCTGCCATTTACAGTAATTTACATTGTCAACTTTACGTCATTGAATTAAGATTCCCATCTCTGATTTGTGTATATACAATGAATTTATAAATAAACATTTTAACAATGAGGTGTTGTCAAATGTATAATTTTTGAGAAAATTGCAAGCATATGATGTTACCTTTTTAATTTTACCATCGTATAGACAGGGACGCTGCTCATTTCGGAATGCCAATAAAAACGAAATTTTGAACTATTAAATAAATAAAAAAATGCATGTCTTAATTGTCAATTTCTATTTATTAATCTTACTTTATCTTTGTATAAAATTTTAATTTTGATATGTAATGAACTTAAGGAGTTACAGTTTTTTTACTTGGACTTGGACATAAATCAATAAAACATTCGTCGCAGACCCAATATAAAGTATATTTATTCATAATATAATAATTTAAACAAAATATTTTTCGTTTACCAAAAAAAATCCGGGAAAGGACTGGGAGTTGGAAAAGGCCCCGCCCGACTTTAATGCTTTTTTTTAGAGTTTTTTTTCGAAATATGCATTTAGACCCCAAAAATTATATTTATTGTTGATCAGCATATATATTCTCATCAGCATCGTCGTAAGTTGTTAAAATTTTACTCAAATGTGTATATATCTGCAGGACTTTTGGTATTGAATGTGGGTTATGTAGGTCCACGTTTTCGTATAGCCCCCATATGACGGTACCTCCCTATATTCGGTATTTTGATGAATTTAGTGATATTATTCACCGGAAATGTTTCGAATTTGGTATTTGAAGTTCGTAATGTATACTACAGCCTAAAAAGGTCACGTTTTGGTATAGCCACATATAATGGTACCTCCTATATTCGCTATTTTGACGATTTTAGCTACGTTATTCGCCGTTTTTTTTTTTCAAGTTTGGCATTTGAATATTCTAATGGCTTATGACAAAAGTAGCCTACGAAGGTCCACGTCGTCGTATAGACCCTAATATAACGGCTACATTCGGTTCTTTTAAGATAGTAACAGAATTTTTAACGGATTTTATTTATTTATTTATTTATTTTTTTTTAATTGCCAAATTTGTATTCAAAGTTCGTCCCAGCCGAACTTACAGCTTTTTTACTTGTTTTTTGGCACCGCAATATTGCAAACAACATACCATAGGGCAAGCAATATACCTTGATTATATTTTGAATGTTATCTCATAAACTGTGTGAGTTTTAAAAATTACATTGTTCATTGAATTGTTTCTAATTAAACCCACAGGTTAAAATCACTAGCGGCGGCGAGGGTAAATGCACGGCAGAATTTGTGGTGAGCACAGAGCATCTAAATCGATTGGGCGGTTTGCATGGCGGTTTTACAGCCACATTGGTCGATATGGTCACAACATATGCTCTGATGTCCAAACCATGCCATCCGGGAGTATCAGTGAATATTAATGTGAATTACCTGAAAGCAGCCAAGGCCGGAGATGAAGTTCTTATCGACGCAAATCTCTTGAGGGCTGGCAAGAAGTTGGCCTTCCTCGAATGTGAGCTAAGGCACAAGAAAGACAATTCAATAATAGCCAAGGGTTCGCACACAAAATTCGTTGATTTTCAATAGCAGAATATGTAAAATACAATCTAGCAGTAGAACAAATAGGAATAAAAATGCACACCTTTAGTGAATATAGAATTTCATATGTGTTGACTTTATTATTATTCATTGAATTTGGGTAAGTTTACTAAGTTAAGATTATCTTAAGTTTGGCAATTGTGTTGTCGTTTTTTTCTTTTGGTTTAATTGTCACATTCTTTGGGTGGTTTGCTGTTCGATCATAAAAATTATATTATATTTTTTAAGTTTGAACTTATTTATTGTGCATTAAGTTTTTAAATTTTTATTTTTAGATATTTAATAATTATCTTCATTGTCGGTGTTAAAAACTGTTATCTTACATATTACACGAACGAACAACATATTTGAAAAATACAATCAAATTTTGTTCTCAATAAATCTAAAATTGTAAAATGGTTATCTATCGAATGCTGATTGTTTTTCGTTTAATCTTTCTTATTGGATGCCGCATTGAAAATGTGGGGACAATGGGGACAACAGGCCATGGGCGGCGTTATGGGCTCTATGCCTGGTTCGCAGTGCACTTCGCCACATTTCTCTTTTGTGCAAGTAATTTGGGCACGACGACATTCGCATTTAGTGCAATAATCCGGCGACCACACTTCATTGTTTAAACGTGTGGTGCCGTTTTCATCCACACAGTGATTCCGTTTTATGGGTTTGTCCTTGGGACTGCTGCTGGTTGCATCACAAGACTCTTCTAGTTTGTGCATTTTTTTGTGCATCTTTTTTAATTCCTTCTGGAAGGAGCTAATAACTTCCTCCAAGCCGCTGACACGTTCCTCATTAATGTCCATCAACTCTTCCAAATCATTAATATGGTGTGTATACTCCGCATCATCGTCAACTGCTTCTTCTTCTATCACTTGTCGCTTGCCCAATGAACGTTTCATGCGATTAGCTTTGGGATATGTCTGCGGTACATAGGAATCAATGAGTGGGGGTAAACTGCTACACACTGCACAGTCTTGCCAAAAGTATAAATTAATACCAGGGATATCTTCACATTTCTTGTAGCCTCCCTGGTGTTTCGCCAAAATGAATACATTTTCGTTGACTTCTTGGATATTGTCTCCGGTATCGCAGAGCACTCTAGCCAGGTTGGCTTGCTTAATTTGCTCCAGTTGTTGCGGCAGGAAGACCGAAGGATTTTCGTAATAGAAGCGATCACCATCTCTCAGACGTCTGAATTGGTCCACTAATATACATTGGAATAGCGGTCCCACTTTAGCGCCTTCTATTTGATCCTCAAGTATACCACCGACCCATACATCAATGTTATCTGGATGGCCATAGAGTTCCTTAAGTTTATCGCGTATTTCCTTATTGGTAATCTCCTTTTCGAGATCATCGAAAGTCTTGGCTTCCGTTAGATTACAAAGTTTGCGGTAAACATTGTATCCGGGTATGCCATGATCTCTACCTCGTTGTATATTAATAGCAGCCAAGTCCAAGGCCACGGCATGGGCAGTTTGGAAGAGTTTCTCCGTTAGCTCTGAATTGAGATTTTGACCTGGAAGTTTCAATTTTGCCGGTGTGGCAAACATGCCTCGCATCAATGGATCCACACCTCCTTCATAGACCAAACGCCATGGAGCAAAGAATGCCTTATGTAATTGCAAATGACCCTGAGGAATAGGTTCAAAGGAGGAGTTCAAACGTTGTAGTATGGGATTGATTAGTGTATGACCAAACCGGAAAGCAGCCGTAGCGAATTCATTGGCAATTGAGGGATTCAGCGATGAATTGTAGCCCTTGTATTCCCCAAGCATTTTCATGCCACTTTCACCTATAATTAAGGGCAGCCAATGCTTGTAGGTGATGTGTTGCATTTGAGCTCCCACAATTTTCCTGGTCTCATGGTATAAGGTGTTTCCTTCCCACTGTGGATTGATGTCCTTCAAGGCAGTGGCTATGCGATTATGTTCACGCAGCCAAATAGTGTGCATGGCTAGTAGGCCCACCTGCTCGTTAACTCTTATGTCGCCGGAGACGAAGCAATTCATTTGATTTTCATCTAAATTCCGCCGGCAATCCATGCCGTCTTGGGGTGCAGCAAACGGTAACATATCTCGCTGATTGGGGAAATGAACACCAATACGCAGCAGACCATCGTCTGTTGTCAAATTTCTCAATTCGTTGGCAAATGCCTCGGTATAACCATAAACCTGGGAGGCATCAATAAATGAAGTCAGCTGATTGATTTGTTCACGATGTTGAACACTTTCAAAGAAAACCGAGGTCATTCCTGAACCGCAAATTGAACTAGATCTTACCAGATCTATGCAGCGTCTATTGCTTATGCGCGGATCATTTGGTGGAACTTCGATGGGATAGCAAGGCGGGGCAAATTCACAAGTCTTCTTACAATCGACACCATCCCAACTTTCCGAACTGACCGAGGGAATAGCATGATCCATATCATGGTCCAAGAATTGACCCCACTGCATGACCATGTGGGTAATGCGATCATCAGGTGTGATTTCCTTGGTTGATATCAGGGAGGTGGATACCAGACGGGAACTTGGTTTCTGGAAGCCAGCATATAATTTTTCCTTTGTCCAACCGATGGGTAAGCTGAAACCATTTTCATAAATAGGTTTCTCAAGGCGACGGAAGGCTGTAAGAGAAGCCCCCCACGTGGGATGAAGTAGATTATTGCATGTACCATCTATGCTGCGATATTTCGAATGGAAACACATATCTGTGCAATTGGGCATTTCACGATGTTCCATACAACCGGAAAGTTCTGCCACCAAATGTAAATGCTCCCTGGACAGTAGATCTTTAAATTTGTATTTGTCACTTTCAATGATCAGGTTATCACCCTTCAAGACATGTTTGCGTATATTAACCAAAGTGCGTTCATATATTTCCGCAGCTCTAGCCAATTGTCTGGCCTCACCCGTAGGGAAACGGAAAACTCGTAATAAATCAGCGTAATTGGGTGGAGCAGCTTCGCCATTGGGCTTAGTGCGATTACGATTCGTAAAAAGTGTGTCGATAGTATTGTTGATGGCCAAATCGATTTCCTTGGCAGCCTCTTCGAAAGCAATACGCACATAACGATCTCCTGGAGCCAAGTCCTCATTTGTCCTGAAACGATGGGGAAGAAAAAAACGAAAGTTAGTAAAATCTTTAAAATGCATTTGCATCAGTATCGATTTCAATTTTATTGTGCGCCATTTGCGTAATATTCGTCCAAATAGGATGTATTTCGACACATCTGACCGAATTCAGTCTAGATGCAAGTACTTCAGATTTGGTGAAAATGGGTTCAAATTCAGTTCCCATACATATATTTCATCCGATTTGGTGTTAAGTGTTTAACAATGGTATTTGATACTAAATATCAGATTCAGATTTGGATATAGCTCCCCCATATATATTAATCCGATTTCACGTTTATTGTATTCCAAATCCGTAATAATCAGCCCAAATAGGATTTTGGCACATACGATCGAATTTTGACTAGAAGCAAGTACTTCAAATTTCGTGAGAATCGGTTAGGATATGGATATGCACCTTCTAGTACCTCCCCCAGAAAATGCCAATATTTTCAAAGAAAATTATTTATTGCACAGAAAGAATATATAATCCGATTTTTCTCAATCTTTGCAAATCCTAATATTTGCATCAGTGCTAGGTCAGGTGCGAAAACGGACAATATCGGTCCACTCCATCAAGTACCTTCCTCACAAGAGGTAATTTTGAATAATTAAAACTCTTATAAAATGTGATGTGAGGAACGGGTTGTCTTCAAATTACACACCTCACAATATTTTTATTAACCCAAGGTCTGGTGTGAAAATGGCATATATCTCTCCATTCCTTCTGGTACCTCCCCCACAAGGGTCATAATTTTGAATACCCATGAAGTGAAGCGATATATTCCACCTTCGTACCAGACCTTGGGTTAATAAAATTATTGTGATGTGTGTACTTTGAAAACAATCGGATTCTTACATCACATTTTATAAGAATTATAATTATTTAAAATGTTGGACACGAAATTAACTTCCGATTCCATTCATACTATTTGGTACATCTCAATATTTTCATCAACACAAGATCTGTTACAATTATGATAGAGATCAGAAAATTCCTACTGGTAACTCCCCACATAGGGTTCAAAATTTTGGAAAAACAAACCATTCAAAGAAAGCGAAATAAGCATCCAACTCTCTTCCAATTTCACACATCCAAATATTTTTACTAACGTAAAATCCGTTGTGAATATGATAGATATCTGCCAACCCCTTCTGGTACCTCGCCAACAAAGGTTCACAATTTCCAATACATATATTTCTCATAACTTACGAAACAAGTCGGCGATCCTTTACAACTTGCTACATCTAAATATTTCTCTTAATATTCATATCAGATCTGATTTATCGAAATTCATGATTTCGCATAAAATTGGGTATAAATATTCGATTTTCTTGTCATTTTGCCAATACCAATATTTGTTTTAGATGAAGTATGAAAATGGAATACTTCGGTCCGCTATATCTGTTACCTCACGCATGTTTCCACATTTTCCAAAAATTTGGACATATTTTATATAAAGTATAGGTAGTAGTCGATATAGTTCAAATCTGGCACGTTGTAATATTTGTATCAGTCGAATTGGTCAATATTGTCCAACTGCTTTGGAACCTCCCCTATAGAGGGTCAACAGTTTGAATAATCATAACTCAAGGCTGGGGATATACATATGTCGGCCAAACCGTTCTGTCTTTCTTGAATGGTTTGTTTATTTAAGAATTATTAAAGTAACTATGTGTTTATATTTTCTAAGTCATTTTAGTTTGCTTTGCGAAAGTTCCTAATTCTGGTTTAGTGGTGTTGGTTAGCGCATGGTCTTCCTCGCCCGAATACATCCCCTGCTTACTGTTTTTCTGTTACATGTTCATTGCTCCGGATGGCTAACATGTATCCTCAATTACATGCTACAATTCTCCCCTTCCATGAAGCTACAATTTTTCTGTGTACTGAATTTCAAGAGTTTTTTTGCTAACCACCCTAACCTAAAAGGGAAATCGGATAAAGTTAAATGCCAACATTAAATATTTATATTTTACTTAACCCCATCATTAACACTATAAATCAGAGTTTGACATTTGTACCAATTTGTAATAAAAATCTCCCAAGATTTGTTAAAATCTTATCCGTTGCCGGAATGTAAACAACCATCCCACCACCATCTTCATGATTGCCTTGGTTGGCGTGAATAGTGTTTCGGCCTTTGCAGTTGCTGGATTTGGCTTGGCTGTCTACTCTCAACGAGAGCTGAAAAAGTGTACATCATTAGAGTACAAATATCGGTATGATGTAGATGACGATGACGATGATGCTACAACGCAAACACTACAAATCCCAAATGATGGTGATACAGAGATATGTACACCACTGCTATCCCCACTTAAAATGGACAAGAAATCAAGGGCTTGCCAACAGGACGAAGCCACAAGAACATAGGGTAAGAGTGCCTAAGTTCGGCATGTCCCAGTAGTCGGCACTTTTTATTTTTAAGCCCAAATAAATGAAACTATTATAACTAAATATATTTTGTTTACTTCAAATATATTGTCAGCTATCTTTGTGTACAATTTCGCTAAGAAAAGATGATTTATTCTAATAAAAATTAAAATTTATGTCTGTGAAGGTCCTCAACAATCCATATTCTTAAGAAAAGTACAATAAAGACGTCGAATCAGTTTAACTAAACAAAAATATTATATTTTAATGAATTAATTTATTATTATTATTCACTACTCTTACAAAAAAATTGGTATGCCGACTGTTGGAACATGCCATACCGACAATTATCAAGTGGTGCCGACTACTGGCACAAAAGCATTGTTTTAATAAAACTACAAATTTATGAAATTTAATAAAAAGTTATTAAAACCTTATTTATTATTGCAAAAACTATACAAAATTTCGAATCTGAATAAATTAACTATGTAATAATTAAAATGTTCCACTCAGAATGGTGAGCGATTAAAAATGCGAAAATCCTAAAAGTGCCGACTACTGGTACACTTACCCTATGTACAATATAAATTCTCAACTCTCAAACCTCCTAGGCATAAGCACCAACGCTGTGAAACTGAGAAAGGAAAAGGATCCCAAAGCTAAATCTTGATGGCAAAGACAAGGAATGAAGACACACAACACGTTGCATTAACTTCTTATGTTGTAACTGTGCACAGTGGTGGTAATTTTATGAAGAATGTAAACAGAGAGAATCATTTCAAGTACTAATCTAAATTGTGGAGGAATTTATAGGCATGTTTATTCAATATCAACAATATTGAAAACATTTATAAGTTTCTTTAAAGGTACCTATTGCTTCAAATAAAAAAGCTATTATTATTTAATTTACATTTATTTAACTTTTATAGGGCACCACAACTTTTAATGGACACTGCGGATTAATACTTTGAAGTACCCTTTTATATTGTGTTTATGTGCGATTTGAAAAATAACGCAAAAATACAAAGAGTTTTATTTATACACTCCGCTATATGGCTAGAGAGGGTACATAACATTTGATACGGCCAAAACTAACTCATTGAAAATCGATTTTAGACCATAGGTAACTTTGGACCAATCATTTTTAGGACATTTGCAGTTGAGTGATGTCCGTTCGTTTGTCTGGCTGGTGCGCACGATAACTCCGATTTTGTCCAAAATTTTAAATAATTATAATTCTTATAAAATGTGATGTTAGAATCCGATTGTCTTCAAATTACACACATCACAATAATTTTATTAACCCAACGTCTAGTGCGAATGTGGAATATATCGCTCCACTCCTTCTGGTATCTCCCCCACAAAGGGTCAACAATCTGAGTAACCACGAAGCTCATAAAACGCGAAATTAACATTCGATTTCATTCAGTAAATGCCAATATTTCCATAAACACAAGGTCTCTTATAAAGATGGTAGATATCGGACAACTCCTTGTGGCAACTCCCCTACAAAGGGTCAAGATTTTGAATAACCAAACCGATCATAAAATCCGAAAAAATATCCGGTCCTCTTCATATTTCACACATCCCATTATTTCCACTAACATAAGACCTGCTGTGAAGATGCAATGTATCGGTCCACTCCTTCTGGTACCTCTCACACAAAGGTTCAAAATTTAAAAATTGAAAATCCACGAAGCTCATAAAACGCGAAATTATATTCGGCTGGAAAACCACAAGTGGCTATCGTTAGAGCACTCCAGCATTTAAATGTGAATAAATATTTTGTGTCTCGTACCATCGCTCGTTACCGTGATACTGGTAGCGTAGTCCGGCGTCAAGGAAGTGGACGGAAAAAACAGCAACATCAGCAGAAATGGTTCGCAGTGGCCGAAAAATGGCTTGTGAGCTGAACATATCGAAATATGACATTCGGTAAATATGAGCTCGGGGCAAAGCCATTAAAATTGCAGAAAGTGACTCAAAAGAGCTAGAGTTTGTAAACAAACAAAATGATATTATGGCGAAAATATTCTGGAGGTGTATTAAAGCTTTGGGCACGTAAACATTTTGGCCGCAGACCTTGGACATTCCAACAAGACTCAGCATCATCGCACTCAGCACGCGACACCCAAGAATGGTTACGAAATGAGGTTCCTCGTTTTATTTCCACCGCACAATGGCCACCAAAATCTCTGGATACCAATCTGTTGGACTATTGTGTCTGGAGGAAAGCAAGGTTGGCACAAAAAAATACCAAAGTTCTTTCCCCGCCGGGAAAGGGTCAAAATACCGCAGAGCAACATTCGGGCAGCGTGTGATGGTTTTATTGGTCATTTGAAGGTCATAATTCGTGCCAAAGGTGACCAATTCGAACAAATCCAAACTTATTCTAAAATTTAATGCTATTTTCGACATTTTTTGCCTTCATTCAATAAAATTTAAAAAAAAAAAATGAAATACTATGGCTTTTTACTTGGTTGCAGTTTTTTTATCTCACCCTGTATGTCATATTTTTCTCACCTTGTATGTCATATCTCACCCTGTATGCCATATCAAGTATATATCGTCTAGTCTAAATATGGCACTTGTAATATTTATATCAGACTTAGGTC